TGGCTGGCGCCTTAGCTGGTTGAGCTATAGGCGTCGAGCCGATTTTTCACTTCTAACAAGTTCTCAGTTGATGCTGCTTCTCTGTGAGAGGAGGAAATGGCTCAGGAGCCTGCTCAGGGTTGCAGGGATGGGAGTTTTCAACTGATTAGAGCCCAAGCTGGCCAGATCTGCGGCCCATTGCTATGCCCCTGGGCGAAGACACAAAACCTCATACCATTTATCAACAGAGAAAACAAACTTAAGGGTTTTTAATTCCACAGAACCCAAGCGAGACCGGAAACCGAAATCTAAGTGAGGAGTTACATAATAGTGGTATAAGGAGCCAAATGGGAAGCCAGGTGCTAAGTTTCAAATTCTAGTCCTACCATTTGTTAGCTGTGTGTCCTAAGTAAGTTACTCAACTTCAGGCTAAGCTGAATGTTAAATTCTTTACAGACCTTGTGCATAAGCCAGCACTATATAAGCGTTATTGGTGTCATCCACTGATAGATACGGATGGAACTACCAAATTATCAAGGGAAGGGGAAATACACATTGTCCATGCAAACTGGGGAACAGGTGACAAGGAGATGGGTGAGTTAAAGGTATCAGAATAGGATCCGGCGCTAAAGGAGGATACTGGGTGATGGGCCTCCCCCCTTCTTTCACCTTTAGACAGCCAGGACGCTTCAGCCAAGGAAGGTCTGAAGCCCCACTCTGAGAAAGGTATAGCTGGGAGAGAGACCCTTGGAGTGTGGAAATGGGGGTGGGCCACATTCCACAGAGACCAGTTCAGTACCCTGCTGGTGTTTCTGGGTAAGCTGGTCCTGCCCCTGTTATCTTACTGATGGGAAGTCCAGCAGTTAGCCTTTTTCATTACCTTTTCCTCCAAAAATCCCTACTTCAGTTGTAAAGCCACTTGGAAATTAAGAGTGGTCCAACCTTAAAATGGAGGTGGCTCCTTGCTCAGTGTCACAGACCTAAGATTCTAGGATAAAAACATTGGTTGGAAACTGCTTTTCCTCCCACACAGTGCCTGGGCTTGAGACAAGGTACAGGTTCACATCCTGCTCCCAAAGAGGGACCCCAGAACCACAGCAGTCCCCTGGCAACATAGGGGCAGTTCCAGAAGGCACCTCCAAGCACTGTCTGCAGGAATAAGTAACTTAGTGCGCCAGTTTTGAATTCCAGCTCTTGGTTATTAAGCATTTCTTTTCTATAAAAGCTTTTCCAAGCTGGGCGCTCTTAGCATAGTGGTTAGGGTGCCGGCCACATGCACTGAGACTGGTGGGTTCAAACTGGCCTGGGCCAGCTAAACAACAATGACGACTGCAACCAAACAGCCTGGCAGTGTGACCCACACCTGTAGTCCCAGCTACTTGGGAGGCTAAGGCAGGAGAATCGCCTAAGCCCAAGAGATTGAGATTGCTGTGAGCTGTGATAACACGGTCTGAGGGCGACAAAGTAAAACACTGTCTCAAAAAAAAAAAAAAAAAAAAAAAAAAGATGTAAACGCTTTTCCCAAAAGATTCAGCATCCCAGACCTCCCCACCCAACGCCCCCTTTACGCAGAGACTCAGCTAAAGCCCTGCTCTTCACCCAGGAGAGTCCCATAGTTTCAACCCATCCACCTCCATTCTAGGCCCCGGCACATTGGTGGGTACCCTACTTCGGCTATGGTAGTTCCATCCATCAAGCTTTATTTTTCAAAACAAAATATTTAGGAGACACTTCATTGGACTACTACACCTCCCTGGGAAGGCGTGATCCAAACCCACCCGACTGGCCTGGAAGATGGGTAAGAGAGGCAGCGAGCTTCAGGAGCCTCCTTGGAGAAGGGGGCTTATTCCACACTCCGTGCCAGAAGATTGGGGGAGAGAGGAGGAAAAGTCCAGTTAAAACCCTCTTCCCGCCCCCTAAAGGGAAAGACAGCAACTCACCACTGGGGGGCGGGGGGAGGAAAGGGGGAGGACAGAGGGAATGTAGGGACCCACCAGATCTCAATCACAAAGTAAGATAAGAAGGGGAAGCGCCTTAGAAATGCTGATTCCCCCAACCCCACCCCTGAGATTGCGAAGGCTAGTTAGAAATGCTCCCTTCCCGCCGGCTCTTCTGAAGTGGTGGATCCCGGGACTACCGGGGAGAAGGGCTGCGAGGGCGGGGGGCGGGGGGCAAGGGCAGTTAGGGTAGCCATGGTCTCCCAACCACATCCTGACCCCCTTCAGCCTGCGGCCACGAGACAGCCAGGGGAGTCTACTGAGTCCAACCGTGTCACTGGCCCCACCTCCAGCGTTCAGTGCACTCCG